CTTAAAGCCCCCTTAATACAAGCTTCCGTTTAATCTACAACAGTCAATTTAACCTGGCATGATGCTGTAAACTCAAGGCGTGATGTAGCTCCCCCTCACCCCACCTCTCAAGGTATTATTATGTCATTACACACAGAAATCACAATAACGTGATGCATCAATGAACAAATAGAACAAATAGGAGAGGCTACAGGATCCAGTAAGTTCAATAGAACTTCGGTTTCAACTCTTTTGACCATGTCGTAGCTCAGTCGATTAAGGCAGTGTCTGGGATGATCTCGGACAGAGGTTCGAATCCTCGTCACGGCCCTAGTGTTGTTGTTGTTATAGATTCAGCTACTCGGAACACGTTCCAAGTAGCACGGGCTATGGTAAGCCCGTAGTCAAAGTCGGATTCACAATGTATGTGTTAAATACTGAACTTGAGGTGGGGGAAGAGTTACCTTAGGACTCTCAAACATAATATAGATAGTAGACTCGAGATGTACCTCACCCATTTATTGGTTATTTATTTTATTTATATACAAGAAGGTAAATTGGGTTGTGTATTAACCTAACTAAACAAAATGTAGTAACCTAAATAACTTTTATTGTGGATAGGCCTATTTAAATTTTTGTTTAGAAAAGTCAAAGGCGCCAGATTCACGAAGGTGGGTGGAAAGTCATATTTGTACCAGTCCTAAGAAGTGCATTTTCACTTGTACAATCTTTCGGGAAGGCTGAGAGCTGCTGACGGTGAGATCTTCACGGGACAAAATGTAGTGCATAAGATGCCAGCTACAATAGCGTGGGTGATCATTTCCGGGGTGATCTCTGACATTTCATTCACTCGTGTCCTTCCTAAGAGTACCCATGGTCTCGTTGGTGGAACAAGTTTCGTACATTAGACCCGAGCTCGAATCTCCAATGATCTAAGTGATTATAATGCATTACATAGTGAAATATGTGAGCAATTTTTAGTTCAAGTGCATGATATTTGTAATATTTTAATGATATTTGTGCTGTAGTAAAGTTTTGCAGGCCGTTCTTATCAGGAAACACGTGTATAATGTGGGTGCTTTAGGTAGGTTTGTACCTACACCAACCTTATCGGTGTGGTGGGTGGAGGTTGAAGGAAGTGAAGTGTGATTAGAAAGGGGTTATGGTGTAGTGGTAAGGGTGTAGATAGTTTAACCTAGCCTCTTACAAAGAACGTAGCTTTTCGCTCGTATGCGTTACGTAAAGCAAAAAATGATCGTACTAGAAAATGGACGCGGTTGGTGAAAGTGACGTACTGTCCCGTTTTCTGTTATGGGTCCTCTGGTAGGTTAGGAGAGGACACTTTACATTGACCGTTTTCTTGACGTTGGGAAATGTTAGGAGGCCGGGGTGGCTAGTGGTAGTGGTGTGGGAGGCGAGGCCGGAGGGCCAGCCACCATCTGTCGTCGCCACGGTACAGTTACTCTCACCTCTCAGCCTAACGTGTACCTCAGTCACTCTTCCTTCACACCACCGCTCCACCCTGGCACTCTACTTGTTAACCTAATGCCCTGAAGCCTACATATGAAACCTCCTAACTCCACTCCCAAGAGTTAGTCACTCGTACAACTGTTGTTAACGCTGCTGCTGCTGTTTGAGGCGCTCTGTCACTCTCCTGTCCAGTCTTCACACCTCTGATCGGCTCCTGAGCAGTTTGCTTGGCCCTGGATCTCCAGATGGATTGCTCATTCATTATATAGGCCTAAACCTTCACAGTTTACGTGGTTGACATGGCTACATTGTTCTTCATTTACAATCTTGTAAAGCCACTAGTACGCGCAGCGTTTCGGGCAGGTCCTTAATCTAACCATTTTCATAACTGTAACACAACGAGTGAGCGTGTTACAGTAATCCACTGTGCACACAAACTAAAGTACAGTATGCTAAAGTTAATTGAACGAGAAATGGCTATGAATAAATACTTCTAAGCATATTTTATAATCATTAGTCTGTCCCCTTTAAATGTCGAAGATGCATAAAACAAAATCTAAAGTAATTAATATAACTGAATTCTCGACCACAAATTTCACAAATAACAAACTGAAAAGTAAGTATCATTGTTGGTAACAAATATTGATCTCTCAGTTGAATAATCTTCGAGTTCAGACTTGACAATATTAACCCAGCTGTTCATGCGTGTACCCACACTCATCTGCCCTACAGACATCTGTAGCAGCTCTCGATCACACATGATCTAATGTGAAAACCGTGACGTCAAGCAAGAGTAACAACGAAGACTGACAAAGAGGTGTACTGGTGCATGGTGACGCATTAGTCCACAAGTTCCTTGTTGCCCCAAGTCACTTTTGTTTTCCAACGCTGACGTCCCACTGCTATCATGATTGAGAGTCTGAGGAGGCTACTGAGCTATGGTATAAAGTACAGTCTTCTGACTGCACCACATCTTTTGGGTCCCGGTTGTAGTCTGGTTCGTTATCGATTCGATTGAGAATTCTGGGTTTGAATCCCAAGTGGGACAAATGGATGGGAGCATTTCCTATCGCCCAATGCGCCTGCTCACCTAGCAGCAAGTAGGTACCCAGGAGTTAGTGAGCTTGATGGAGGGGGGGGGGGGGGTTGCGTTCTAGGCAGGGTCAATAATTTGTCCTGGGGTGGTGGGGCTGACCTCGATATAATCGTAACGTGTATTACTGAACGGGGTGAGAATAGCTTGAGTTACCTCATCCCTTTGTGTGTATTTTACCTCAATAAACTTATTTCAATTTCAATAACGTCTATAAATACACTCCGACTGCCTGTCCTTCGACACAATGAATTACTATTAATTATCACAAGATTTCTAAACGCCTCATGATGAGCTTGAAGAACAAGTCAAAGAAAACTTTACTTATTTTCAAGGTGCACCTCCAAAATCCGGATTGGGTCTGAAACTATACAATCTGGATTTGCAGGAAATGCGGATTTCCAGAAATGTGCCTGTATGTTATTACTATCACTAAATGTTGTTTTATTTTCATTTAAAACTCAAAATGTATATAAACCATAGAATTTTGTTTTAAATATACTGCACTCGAGGGATTTTTTAATGGGCACTAACTGCTGCTCATGTTGCCATTAAAAACATGAGCAGACCCATATGAAAGGGTCTCCACAACATTGTCGCTTGGACCGTCGACTTGCTTTGACGTCACCAGCAGTTTATTTTCGTCTAATTTCGTTGTGAAATGATACTTTTTCAAATTAAAAATATGTTTTTCCATGGTCTACATTCAACACCAACATTATAATGAGTAAATATATCATATTTATTCTGCCAAGAAGCTTTGGGTAGCTTTGGGTAATTAGACGGACCCATTTTGCCAGTCCGTCTAATTACCACAAGCTTCAGAAAGCTTCCTGGCAATACGTTAGTAATGAATAAATATGATATATTTACTCATTATAATGTTGGTGCTGAATGTACAACACGAAAAAACATAATTTTAATCTGAAAAAGTATCTTTTTATAAAGAAATTAGGCGAAAATAAAAAGCTGGTGACGCCAAATCAAGTCGACGATCCAAGCGTCGGTTAGGTTAGGTTAGGTTTGGTTTGGTTAAGTTAGGTTAGGTTAGGATAGTTTAGGATAGGTTAGGTTAGGTTAGCCTAACCTATCATATTTATTCATTACTAACGTATTGCCAGGAAGCTTTCTGAAGCTTGTGTAGCTTGTGGTAATTAGACGGACCCCATTTTGCTCTTATTCGCCAGTATTTCTGAAGATCCAGTCCCATAAGTCTTTTTTTTCTTTTTAAGGTAAAACTGACTAAATAAACCAGGCTCAGATTTATCCATACCAAAGATGCCTTAACCTTAAGAGTTCATGAGGTTAAAGTCTTGGGAACTCATTGTAATAAACAAAGATATATATTTTCCTGATCATTTAAGGCACTTTCCACAGACCTAAACCCACAAAACCATAAATGTAAAAATATAGACAAAATATATGATCTGCAGAAAATTACTGTACATAATGATCTGGATTTCACAGAGAAGCTCTGGCTTTAGAATCCAAAATCAAGTAAGGGATATGCAGTCCTCTGCAAACAAGCAAACTGTTTAGCAGTTAGTTACAACACCTTTGAAAAGTCTAATAAATTATATTTTCATCAATCTCTGCATCAAATTGTTTACTGTATATAAACAGATTCTTCTTAGCTAGACTTAAAAGTCGGATTGAATATTGTATGGCTCCATGTGATAACAATCATCTCTATTGGGGGGGCAACAGTGACTTACCGGTACAGTACTGTACTTAGTTCTCACACTAAAATAGCTTTACCGGTAATTAACTTTTAATGTGTGTGTAATTATTTCAACCCATCCCCCTGTTCAGTCATTTTTGTAACTGGATGGTGTTATATACAGTACTTTATATGGATATAATGGACAATTACAAAGTAGAATTTACTATTTACTTTGGAAATTTATATAAAAAAGTTTATTTATAAAATAAAAATTAATAAATAATAATACAGTATTTAATATTAATGGAAAAAATAAAGCTAAAAACCAACTTTAAATATTCCTAGGTCTAGTAAAGGACATATATGTGCTATATTAGGCCTCTGATAGCATGTATTAGGCCTAGGATGATTGGATTATGTTAGGTTCTATTAGCAACATAAATACAAAACCTTTTCTGGTTTGTCCAAATTCAATAGTACTAAATTCTACTTTCTAATTGTCCATTACATCAGTATATGTATGATAGTCCACGTCATTACTGTAACTAATATCTAAACAGGAGGATGGGCTGTATTATTTGAACCTCTTTGTTGAAATGCAAGTGTGCAATAAGCTGTATAAGAATAGGACTCAAGGATTAACTTTTTGGGGTTATTGAAGTAAATGTTCCACAGAGCAGTCCAATCATGTCATGGTATACAGTACAGGGTACTTCTTTATGGGTAATTTGCTTGAGGGATAATTGTTTACAACATCCTGAAATGTTATTTAATAGTCTCTGTTTTTCATTACAGGCTGAAAAGGCAAAGAAAGAGGCAGAAGCAGCATTTGAGGAATGTAGCGACATTGCCCGACATGAAGTAAGTACTATATTCTCAAAATATGCTCTCGATATTCTCGCACTTTTAATTAACCCCTAACCTGTGCATCCAAAAAAAAAAATTTTTAGTTTGGCATAGTGAGGTGAAGAAATGTTGAAAATGTCATACAGTATTCTGATAATTAATTTTCAAGTAAAGTGTTTGTAATAGATTTCTCATCACAAATATCTTCTTGGTCCATAAGTCATTGAAATTTTGCATGGGGACAGTGGTTCCAATCATGGGCGTCAGTAAATGGAAAGTGCAAACTTTGTTCATAATTCCCAAGAAGGTAACTAAAGCTTTCAGGATTTTTTGTCCAATATGGCAAATGATTGCCAGAAGTCCCTAGTGTCAAATGCCATCCACACACAATAGTTAGCAAGTCTTGACTGTTACAAGGCACATTAAATCTTTCACAAGTAACAGGAGGATGTCACACTATTGTTTAGAGTGACGGAACTGTTTAGGGGTTACGTAACAAATTTTTTTATCTTATAATGACACGAGAGAAGTATTTTTAAACTCCACTCTTTTGCTGTAATTTTGTCTGTAATTATCATTCAGGCATGGCTTTAAACACTGGCAGGAAAGACAAAATTGTGATTTGGCAGTAACTGCAGGCCACTAGTACTGTACATGATTACCTCATATAACATAACAATTACAAGAAGCTTGCCGAATTTTGTCATGGATTTTGGTTAACTCTTATTACATCCATATAATTAGCATTACCATATTATGTCATTGGTGCAGCAATAATAATAATAATAATAATAATAATAATAATAATAATAATAATAATAATCAAATGGTGCTAACTGCAATGGCCCAGGCAATCAATAAGTGACGATGGCTGCATGTTGAGGTTTTGAAAATGACTGAATGGATTAAGCTTACATTAAACAGATTAAGATTAAGTTAAACAAGACTATGATTGACTCATTTTCTAAGTAGACCACAGGAGATTTTCTTTAGGTGTGTATAGCTGAGCATGTATTGTGAATAGTTTTGCCTGTATGATGGTCAACTATGGCTTTCAGCTCAGTTACCCATAACAAACTACACCAAGTAAAGTGTGAGGAAACTAGTTATTTCTGTCAAGTCTGAGAATACTTTTTGGGAAGATGTTACCATTCCCATGTATTATTATGCAGTAAGTTTTGTCAAGTGTTAAAGGAAAGTTTATTGGCTATAAACATTTAGTGAAGTTTTGCATTTAATGTGTTGATGAGTGTTGTGGTTTTTTTCTTTATGTACTGAAAAGTTGTTTCATGGCATAAAGAATAGCTTTAGCGAATATTGAGACTAGATGACTCTTTTTATTTATATATACAAGAAATTCTCTTCTTGGGTTTAATTGGGAAACATGAAAAATTCACAAATTTTCAGATAAAGCACTTTCAGCGGCAGCGTGTGACAGAGATGCAAGAGAGTGTGGAACGCTATGCTGCCTATCAACTAACATCCGCTAGAACCACTCTCAGCATATTGTCCCAGGCACTCAACCAAATCAAAGCCATCAACTTATAGGTTATAAAGAAACCTAACTTCTGTCCAGATCATTATTAGCTCATCTCATGTTTGCCATCATCTTGTCTGAGAAACAAGCAGATGTTCCTTGCAAAATAATAACTGCAGGTTTCCTTTTATCATATTGTCATCATTCCAGAGAAATTATTCGGCTTGGTTTTCCACACTCTGCTTAGTTTCACTTTGAATAATTGGAAGCCTAAAGTACATACATAGTAAGTGGGATTGCTGTTTAAGCTTCTTTTCTCTTATTTGCCTGTACTCTTAGTTTTTCTTAAAATTGCACCTACACCTTTTTTTTATGTCAGGATCTATTACTTTCACTGCCCTCAAATTCACCCTGTAGTCAAAGTAATGCACCCGGTCACATTGGTGCAGATAATGGTGGTTATACGAGAATAGATTTTTTGTACAGTACAGTACTCTCTCTTTTTTTCTCTTTCTTTGTCTGTCTTTCTTTCTCTTTCTTTCTTTCTTTTTTCTTTTGTTTTCGTTTTCTTTTTTTCCTTTTCTTCTTTCTTCCTTCTTCCTGCACTTGCAAGGAGCAGCAACCGTCCAACAACTTTTATGAAGGGAGGGATTGTGAGAGATCCAATACTGAGACAGAATGGAACCCTACTCTGCTTGAGACTAGAAACACTAGCATTTTGTGTGGTATATAATGTACAATTAGGAATGTTTGTATAAAATGTGTCATGTCTTTGAAATAAAAAAAAGAATAAAAGAAGAGTGTACAGAACTAGGAAACTCTTCATTTGCTCATCTTATTTAAATAACGATTTGCCATTTTAATTAAATAATTAGTTGGCTATTGGCAGGATTTACATAAATAGCTCCCGTTTAAATGTCTTATTACAGTATGATTATTAGTGTACAGGTATGTTTTTTTTCTTTTGCTACTGTGCTAAATTCTGACTACAGTATTATGTAATCTTCCGTTTGTAACAACGTGCATTACAACTACTGTACTATTTACACTACATCTGTGAATGACATTTTCCTTTATGAACAGTATTTTAGGTGTTTAGGTAGGTTAATATGTTGATCTCAGGAAATGTTCAATAAATTCTGAAATTTGTCATTACTAACATACAAATTGATACTGATAATGATAACCATTTTCCTTAGACGCTTGTTATCAGTGCTCCATTTTAACAACTTGATTTTTCTTTTGGTACAGCACCTTTCAAGCTTGCTTTGTTTAATACTTTTTGCTATGAAAATTATATATTATAGAATTTGACTTACAAAGGGTGACTGGTTTTATTACTTTAAAAATATTTATTAGTTGTGCATTTAAAATAAATACACTGAGATAATATATATGGACCAATTACTGTTAATGTATTTCTTATAAATTAACTTAATATCATAGTTTACACAGAAATTGACAGTCATTATAGGGTTAAAAAAACATATTAATGATATTACCAATGCTATTTCTTAATACTGTATTTACTAGATATGAATATCAAAATTTCTTTAACCGAATCAAAAATTTCAAGCTACTTCAAATTTTATAATCCAAGCCATGTCACAACTTTATGGTTTTAAAAGCAAGAGAATAGTCTGTCCTTCAAAAAATTTCCAGACCTATCCTTTAAATTTAGGAATTGTACAAAACTTTTTAGCAAATCAATACTGCCATTTCAAATTTTTGCATAAATCAAGTAAGTCTTTTTAAAAATTTGTCCATTCAATATTTTGATTTGTTGTTTTAAGGCATATAAAACTTAGGCATTCATAACTATTATTTCACGATCGTCACATTCCATTGTAGTTTTTCATCACATCAGTGGACAAGTACCCATACCAAAGATATTTTTAAAATATGATTTAACTTAAAATGCTGATTAATGTGTGTGTGAAAATTAAAAACATCTCTAGTCTGCATCTTCTATTGTATTTCAAGGGCATTAGATGACTTAAACAAGGAAGATAGTTTTGTAAAAAAAATTTTGTCTGCAAGGTACATGATGATGCAGAAAAGTTAGTTTTAAACTATACAGTATAGGATATTGTGTTACACAAGATCTGACGATTTTCATATTTTGTCTTTTATTTTTTTGATCGTTTTGTGGGATATACTAAATCAGCTCAAGAGTGCAAACTTACAACATGAAAACTAGTCAGGAATGTCTGTCATATAAAATGACATTTATGAAACTAAAGTGCCAAAAATAAACCAAAGTCAAGTCATTGGTGTGTGTGATAATCGGTCACAAACTAGTCATTGTAGCACGTGCTGGGCAAATTGTTTATGTTCTGTTGATTTTTTTTCTTTGTCTTACAGTTGCTTATGATTGTTTATTCATTCTGGAGTTTGTTCTAGCTGAACTTTCAAGTTGCTGCTTGCAATTTTTTTTTTTTTCCAATGCAAAACAATGAAATCATTAAGTTGTATTTCTTGCAAATGGTACTGAAACTGATCTTGTAAGCTTGATTAGGGTATTTGTTGAAATGATTGTTTAAAGAAAATACAAATAATGTTCATAATTTATTATACATAATTATTAGCTTATCTTTAAGCTCCCAAGTAAAAAGTTGTTTTAAATATTTAATAGAAAAAGTTTGCATAATTTTATGTAATACATTTTGCAATAATTATTATATAACTGACATATCAAGTTTATAAATCTCTTGGAGGGCATTTAAAAAGGAAGAACATGTAATTTGTTGAAAGCTCATTAGTTTTATAATTGCTTCAATGAGAAATGTTTAAAAAAAAAAAAATCATGTCGTATAGTTTCACATCGGTTGTACAAGAGTGCTGTCTTACAGGTAAACAACTTTGCTCATAGGGGGCTTGAATTTTTCAAGGAGTATGTTTATAATTGTCTGTTGTTAATATTGTCAGGATTACATAACCTTTGAAATTAAATACTCTAAAATAACAATACAGTATATTGTGGAACTCTCACATACTGGCATCATTGTATAAAAAAGCTCAGTATTGTATATTAAAATAATTTCACTTCAAAATTATTGGAATAATAGATATTTATCGATGCCAAGATAAAGTATAAAGTCTAGAAGTCTAAATTTATTGTATAGAGTAATTCATCTCCCTACTCCAAATTAAGGTAGCCCATAAGAATATATGCAGGTCTAATAAAATAGGTACTGCAATTAACTTTGATATGATGTGTGTGATCGTTATGCATAATAGTATACATGGATGGTGCGAGTGTAGAGCCGTCATGCAAGTTCCTTGTGTTTGTCGGTCGAGTTGTTTACAGCATATATTGTAAGCGGTAGTAGAGCCAGTTGTACAGTGAGGCTGTCAGCATCACCGGGTAATCAAATAGTACAGTACATGTAACATAGCATCATTTATCCAGGGATGATCATTGTCTCCAGGCAGTTTCCTCTGGGGGCAATAACAAGCAGCTCACCACTATTGTATTTTATTTTAAGTTTAAATTCAATAGTTATAAGTTACAAAAGAGCATTCTTCACTTAATTTTGAGCATTACTTTATTAATTTGTGCTCCTTGTGCCATCAATACCATTTGGGAAACTAAATATTTAGCCGCAGTTTGGTTTTGTCTTGCTGGTAGATATATAAATTACTGGATGAGGTGTTATTATTTTTTTTTTTGAGGCTAATACATTATATTAGTGAAACTGTCATGAGAAATAATTATTTTCATCTATAATGTCATCCATTTCCTGGATTGAAGATGATTAATTTTGTTTTGTAAAAAATAGCTATATTCTAATAAGTAAAGTAAATAATTAGTTACTATAAAGATGCACACTGTGTATTGAATCTTGACTACATACAAATTCAGTATTTAAATTCCAAATATTTGCTGAGGTGATATTTACAGATTTTTTTTTTGTTTAGTTCTATTGGCTTACATTTTTATCTTCTTTTGGTACAGTTAGATATAAATACAAAATGCATAGCATACATTCCCAGGTAAGTGGTATGTGTGTTTAGATCATATTCTACCAACTGAGATGACGGTGGCTATTCTGTGTTCAACTTTCTGGATTGATATAGGCTACAGGTTCTTTTAGGAATGCTGTAGTGTTTACCAGATTGAAAAGTTGTGCTGTAAATTTACAGGGGCTGTAAATATATACTGGCAATTCTCTGTGGAGGAACATTTTGAGTATGAAGAGTTCAACCAGTGTTCAAGAATCTTAGAATTCTAACCACTGCTTATCAGTTCTAAATATTGTCACTCAGAAAAGTTTTTTTTTTTTACTCTGCAAATTTACCTCCACCATAAGATCATTGGAATATGTAGACAATAAGTTGCAATAACATGATTGAAAATTAAACACCTATCCCACAAATCTGTAAGTAAAAGATTTGACACTGCTTCGTCCCATTCTAGACCATTGCATGACCTGATAATGATCCCGGACAAACTGAAACGTTGTCAATTTTATTACAAACAGATTTTTGGTTTGGAATTTTAATCATTGGAGCACATTAAAAAAAAAATAGAATACAGCCCCATGTGTGTGCATTTTTTTGTGGACTCCAGCAGCACAGTAAACTAGTTGCTGGCTCATCCTCCCTTTGTTGACCAGACCACACACTAGAAGGTGAAGGGACGACGACGTTTCGGTCCGTCCTGGACCATTCTCAAGTCGATTTGCCTTGAGAATGGTCCAGGACGGACCGAAACGTCGTCATCCCTTCACCTTCTAGTGTGTGGTCTGGTCAACATACTTTAGCCACGTTATTGTGACTGATCGCCTCATCCTCCCTTTGCTTGCATTCCATTAGATTAGCCATTTATATTTACCTCATGTAAGTGAAGATTAATTACTTGCCTTTGAAGACACTTGCCTTATGAGATCCTTGTTGAGAAGGAATAAAATAGATCTTTGCTTCTTGAATATTTATTTTTTATTTAAAAGCTTTTTGTATTGTAGTTAGGGTGCATATTTTGTGAATTTGGTAAAATCTGTTTGTTTAGGCATAAAAAGTGCCAGCATTTATGCCTATCTAATGTCATATATATTAGCTAGTTTTTCCATACTATAATTAATTTTACATACTATAATTAATTTTATACAAGCTATGGTAATAATACAGGATATACTGTATAATATTTAGGTATCATTTGTATTGGCTTATAGCTCAAGCAATTAACCATTCCAAATATGCCATTCATGTACAAATTAAGTTCCTATTATTTAACTATATATTCTCTGTACAGTTAAATGAATTTATTGCATCTCTTTTTACTGAGCCATTGTGATTTTTCATTAATGATCTGATACTTGTACTTTATATATGAATTGCTCTAATTCATTGTTTTTTTTCCATTGAGCTTCCACATTGCCTCAGTGCTAATGGCTGCTACTATAGTTCATCAGTCAGAAACCTATATCTTAGTTTCAAAGCACACAATCTAGGCATGTAATGACTGCAATTGGTAGGTAGCATATAAAATTAAATTAAAAGGATAATGAATTTGTGGTATAATTTTACTTGCTGCTATATGTTTTGTTTATTCAACACTGTGTTTAAAGTGGAGTGCCTGTACAGTACTACAGTACTTGTAGTTGAGACGGCAGATTCTTTAACTAATCCAGGTTGTCATGTGATCCATATGGCTCGTTGTGTTGCTGGAGTAGTTTTGCTAATACAGAATCTAGGGTAATAACCTACTGGTTTAAGCAGTGTTAGATTGAGATACAAAAAGAAAGTATGACTATGAAGTTTATTTTTCAACCAAATAGCTCTAAATTACTCTGAAACCAAAAATAAATAGGTACATAATTTTCATTTAGATTTGTTTATAAGTGAATGTGGAGTCATCAAAAGCTATGTAATTTCCCAAGTTTTCAAAGTAAAAAAAAATTAAAGGTATTTAACACCATATTTATTTGTGGGTTATATTTATGGAAGCAGCACAGCATGTGACCCTTGTATATTGGGCAGCAGAATTTACAGTAATAATTGTTGGAACGATTATAGAATTGTTTCCAGAAACTGAGAATTACAGTATATTACAATAGCCTACATGGAAAAAGTGGATGTATATAGCTGTATTACTGTTGCTGTGGTTAATTTTGTATATTTTGAAATGCAATTTAATTAGTCCATTTGTCAGTAATTTTTTTCTGGACCACATTTTTAAAGTTTCTAATTTGTTAAACTGTAACAGTGGCTAGCAGAGCAGCTAATGTCATCTGAAAATATTGCATAAGAAAACAGTAATTCTTGTACAGTAATTTTGGCAATTTTGATTCACTGAAGATGGAAGTATTGTATGTTTGTATCAAAGTGTTAATAATGCTTCTGATTTGTAATAAATTTAAATAACTATACATTGTGTTTTGTTATAAAGTTGATAATTTTACTAATCAACATGTTTATCCATGTTGTTACTTCCAACATTTTGTATAGAAGCTTTAAAACTACAGATGCCCATCCTCATCTTTAATTGGTATAAAACGAACAAATTTTTGTGGATTCACGCGGTGCACCGCTCCTGTGCCAGGTAAGTCCAATACGGGCTCACTATAGCCCGTGCTACTTGGAACTTGTTCCAAGTAACTGAATCTATAACAACAACAACAACAACATGTGGATTCACACTCATATTGGTGTTGTCTTTAATTACCTCATGGACACTGCTTGTGCCTGTGCCATCTAGAAACTGATTCCTTGCTCGGATTTCTAACCTATCATTTATAACTTAACCATTTCAAATTATTGCAGATTAAGTATTGTGTATAACCAATTGCTTACTATTAAATGTGATGGTCCTCTTACCACCAAAACAGATGCTGAAACTGCTCTGACCAGGTTACATATTTGCCACACGATTGACTTGTTGGCACAAAGACCTTGCTTTAATGTCAGAACTCGTGTCTTTCTTACAGTAGCACATCTAGAATGACTTGAATTCTGATCATACTGAAAACCTTCTTTTCAGAGTTTCTCACTCGTGTAGATTTCTCACTCGATAAAATCTTTGGTGATTGATACATTTAACATTGCTCATCTTTTTTATTTCATTGGCATCTTTGATATCTAGATATTTATTTTTACTCTGTACAAACACTACAGAGTACTATAAATAATAGTACAGTATAATAATTGTAGTACTGTACTATAACTATAAATTTTGAGACCATACAGTCCAAGTGAATGGAACTACAGGGTACTGTTTGTACAAGGGCCTGTGGCTGAGTAGTCAGCGCTACAGATCCGTAGTCCTGTGGTCCGGGTTCGATTCCCGGCGCTGGCAGAAACAGATGGGTAGTTCCTTCCACCCTGATGCCCCTGTTACCTAGCAGTAAATAAGTATCTGGGAGTTAGCTACTTCCTGGGCGTGTGTATGGGAGGGGGGGGGGGGGGTTAGTAACGGTCAATTGATTGACAGTTGAGAGGCTGGCCGAAAGAGCAGAGCTCAACCCCCACAAGCACAACTAAGGGAATACAGTACCATTACCATACAATCTGCTAATCAGTATTCCAGGCTTGGCATCCTTTGATAATTACTTATGAATAACTATTTAGTGATGTGACTACTGTACCACTGTTCCATCATTTCAGTTTTTATCACCCTTAATTCTTTTGTTTTATTCTTCAAGATTGCCTTATGCCAGTAGTTTTCACTTTTAGTAAATCCATAATATTTAAGCTGATTATTTTAGTCAACTATTTTCAAGCAGAATTATGAGGTTAGAAACACCCCCACTGAGACAGGCAGGATTTAAATCATTTATCATTTATTATACACAGTACATTATACGTACTGGGGAAAAGACATGAAATTTGCAACAACACACTGAAGAAGAGAGACTACATGAAAATATTACCGTTGTAATAATGTTTATAATAAATAAGGCAAGATGTGTTTATAATAGAGGCAAGATGTGTTTATAATAAATAGAGGCAATGTGTTGGAATACACAGCATCCCATAACCTTTACCGAGTAGTTGGACACACATGTATGCATGCTTGCGCGTGCGCACACACACACATGCACACATGCACACACGTATGACTTCAATGTAAATATGTGAGCTCAATAAGCTCAGGAACCTGTATACCAGTCAAAGGTCAAGAGGCAGGGGCCAGAGCGCAGACGCTAGAGGCCTGCAAGTATTATTAGACATACACAATCTTTCGATGCCCTTCCCTCCCTCTTCAATCCCCATATCCTCACTCTGAGCACCCACACACTTATTACACAATCATTCTCTGTACATAAGCATAAATATTTACACAACTGTTCATCAAAATTTTCTTAAGACTATAGTTATGTTTGAGGAGAGGGCATTGGGCAAAACTAAAATATAAATACTGTACTGTATATTGTTCTAATTGCTTACCATTTGTATTGTAATAAGTTAGAAGTGACTTATGTACATTCTTATAAAACAAGAAAATAAATACTGTACTGAATGTGACTGTCAACATGCAGATAAACTAAGAAACTTTTAAACAAATTCCATTAAATGCAGCAAAAATACTGTACATGTATAATTGAAACTGTAAACAAATTAGCTTTGCAAACAGTGTCGTTTTAAATATCATCCAAAGTTCCTTGCCAAGTAGAAAATATTCGGCAAGTGATGGGCTGCAAGTTTTACTAACACACTTGCCTAGAAGTTAGTTGTTAGCACGCTTAGCTCACAGGTGAAGAGGACTTGTGTTAAAAACCTCGACATGGTTGGATAATTGGACAATGTTCCTTCACTCTGTTCACTCATAAGTAGTAAGTACATGTAAAATGATCGGCGGATTGTGTTTTGAGGAAAACATGTCATTGGATACCCTAATATTGTAATCTATTCCAGTACTTGAACTGAAGACTAAATTTCATCAAAATGTACAGTAATGGTACAATAATAATAATAATAATAATGACATCAGTCAGAATTATAGTTGTCTGTTACATTTTCACTTTGGTTTACTAGTTTGCATGATTTTTGTTCAACAAAAATTGCATATTCATAATCATTGGTTAAAAGTACACAAGACTGTGTAAAAGCTATCTTGGGCTAAGGTGAAAATCTACTTGCCAAAACTTTAGCATGATACTGATTGGTTTGTTTAGTCAATCTTGGGCATGATAAATGTGATGAAAATCATTTCATTAATGTCTGGTAATTGTTACAATACAGTATTTTCAAAAGGAAATTGAGTGATAACACTTTCCAGCATTATGTACTTGATATTTGGATAAAAGTTGCCCATTATTTAAAGGCCTATTTGTACTCAAGAGTTCTGTAAAAGAACATGGTGATGCTGATATTAATGTACTGTATATAAATATCTGACAAATGCCTAAAAAGTTATTAAATATTAATGAAAATTATACATTCTGAATTAATTGATTGAAGATCTTTGTCTGTTTTCTATGAAGCAAACTGAAATAGAGGAATCTAAAATGCTGATTAACTAATGGTTGCAGTTTGGCCTGAGTTGCCTCTCCCTTGCCCTAGAGAGAATTTAAACAAATTAGTTGCACCTCCTAATATTTAAAATATTGTATTGCAATTACTATGTCAAGTGAATTGGCATGTCATGTATATTTTGCATTTTAGGAACTATGTATATCATGGACAGATGTGTAACAACCCAGAGAAAGTCATGAAGGGAAGTTTCAAAATATATGTACTGATTCTGTGGTTAGCGTACTGAGAATTTTAATTATTCGAAGGGAATGGTTACAAGGAATCATTTTAAATACTAGTTTTCATCTATGAGCTATTGAGTGCAGAACATCTGGCAATCATTTATATGAATTTAAAAGGCAGTATTGTATGACTAATATGTCATATATATTGGATAGGAGGATCATGATAAACTGCCCTAAAAGCTAAAAGACAAATGCTTCTCCAGGATGTTCTCATTAATGTGTGTATGCAAATTTTGGTTCATTTTAGTGCATCTGTAAATTGTAAAATTCTTAAGCCTCTAGCACTGCCATCATTAAATAAAATTGGCAGATATAAAAAGCAATGGACAACCATAGATGATATCTGGAAACACTACTGCCATCATATTACTTGACCAAACAAGTACAGTACAAAAAATACTTATGCAATGTGTGCAGGAATTATCAAATGATCAGTATAATTACAAATTATAATAATTACAATAATAATAAATAGGATATATTACAGTATATATACGACTGAGTTTACTGCAGGCTATGATGGGTCTCACTTGGGATATAGAAATGTTGACAATCAATATATGATGCGGTTTACACACAGCAACAAGCCTCACAGCTCGGTTATCCTTCAGTGGATAAAAACACGGTATATCAAACACGATAAGATTTATAAATACATTAATATGAAAGCACTGGTATTCAGTTTCGTCATACATTTAAAGAGATCAAACTAAGGTACCATAGAGGATGCACTTCACAGTGTTATCATAATCATGGATTTGAACCCATTCCAGTCATTTTTGGCTCAATGCAACTTGTACTTTTTTGCAAGTACTTTAATGACACTATATTACTTGTCTGTTGAGCCTTTTTACAGCATGTTAGATTATTCCTTTACACTATTATCTTGCCACTAAAGGTATCACACAGTAAGTAATTGTGAGCCATCCAACTGTTCATCACTGTCTTCCTGTGTGGGTTATCACATACAGAAGGTAGCTGTCTTGCAGCCTCCAACTCATTTTCCGCACTTGAGCCTAATGCGGCACATTTTCAAAACATCTCACGCTTAAATTCAAACTTGTACTTGATGCACTTCTCTCTAAGAATACCCACAAGAGAAGGTGGACCACAGTAGAACACACACACTTTTCCCACTCGTGAATCTCGAATACCACTAAATACCTGTAGAAAATCAATGGAAAAGAAACTCTTATTATACATTATATGAACAATTTAATAATTAAAGCTGAAAATGTACGAGAATATATAACCAATGCACAAGATTAACAGAAAGGATGTTAAAGTTCAATTATAGCTTTTTTTTCCTGTATGTATTTATACTGTATTACTAAATTTACAACTCTGCCTTTGGATAATTTTAAACATTTAGTTTTTAATTTAAAGTGTGCATTTAATACAAATTTAACATTGTCCCTTGCTTCTTCAGAGACCTATTATCACTGAGGCAGCATTGCATTAAAATTTGCTGTAGTACTGTAGATGGTAATCTGCATATCACTTAAGTCTGTTTATAATAGGGTTCCAGTAGTACAGTCAGGTTCGTTCTCGACGCACAATAGAGTCTTCCAGGTTGGAATCCCGGGCGGGACAGAAATGGTTGGGCACATTTCCTTTCACCTAATGGGTCTGTTCATCTAGCAGTAAGTAGGTACTCTAGAGTTAGTCAACTTGTTGTGGGGTTGCATCCTGGGCGAGTGGTGCCACGATACAAGCCCAATGCGGATGAATAAACTCTCACTTTCTGTCCCCCGACACAATGAATTATGATTATATATGTACAGTACTGAGAAATATGAACATGTCAAAAGTATGGTGGGTATGTATACCATGGCAAGTGCAGTTAAGCATTAATAAAATGGATTGTGATGGATCAGAATCCTTGATGATCCTTAAGAAGTTGGTTATCATTGAAAATTTTAATGCACTAACTTTTTTTTTTAATTTTGCCACTCATGTTTTTATTAGTACAGTAAATATTAATTAAAAAATGTGAATATTTTACTGTATTTCAACTTTTATTACAAATTATACAATACCGGTGCACATTGTACAGGCTTACCTCATCTAGCAATGCCCTGTGCAGCACTGATTTGCTAAAGCACTTTTCTCCAATTTTGTTTTATTTATAAGGCATCGTTGTGGGTGGGAGCAAATGTTGTGTCGGTGTGTGGGGTGAGAAGTGTTTAAGGAATGGGTACATATTCAAACCAACAAGTTTAGTACAAGTCCTTCCATGATTAGATGACTAATAACTAGTTGTATTTGTCTGGACCCAACGTTATGCTCTATAAATTAACACAGTGTTGTTTTTCTATAAAGAATGAGAAGACACACACAAGTGATGATTGTCTCCGTCTTACACTGTCGACCACCTCGAAGCCACTCTCTTCCTTCCTGTGAATGGCAGGTGAACGGAAGAACTAACTTGCTAATGAATTGTGTATCTGGTGGCGTAATTTTTTATTAGCAAATAATATGGGAGTATACAGTACATATTTTCAAAACTATTGTATATTTTGTATTAATTTTACAGTATAGCAACCAATGCTATCCATAATATGTTGGTCATAGAATATAAATTACGATGTCAGGACTGCATCTCCATAGATACTTATGCTATAATTACCCTGTTAGCACTTCTGTTTCCAGAAACTTATCCCAGCAAAAAATGGGGTATGCCTGTAGTCGGTTCCATTGAGATACAGTAACAATGTACAGTATACAAATGGGAAAGAAGCAGCAGAAAAAAGAAAAAGGCATTGTGATGATAAGGTATATTTCTAAATCAAACTGTTTGTAAATGTAGAAGAAATTAAAGGATCTCCCAAGTAATATTTTAATTTACAACTGAGCTCATTTGGCATACTACCTCACTGTGTATCCCATTGATCTCGTTCTGAGATGATGAAAAAGTCATAATGTGAAGATACAATAATATGGTTTCTGGCAATATTTTTGCATCCTTATTTTAAAACTTATTACTGTATCAATAATTAAAGAACAGATACCTTGTCCCAGTCTGGTCTACCAGCCCTGATGGACGATGCTAGCGGCAGTGTGGGACTTAGAGGTGCAGCACCAGTCTTGTAAAGGTGGAGATTGAGAAAGGTTTCCATGGCTGCACCTATCACACGTTGTTCACTCTCAAGGGCTGCAAGGACTTCCAGGAACCACTCAAAGCTTCCAATATCACGGTTCACCCACACAAAATCAACCTTCAACCCAAAGACAGTAAATAAATAAAATTAGATGAACAATTAACTGTGAACTGTGTGCTTGCAGAAATGCAATGTTTTGATACTGTTTAAGTGTGAATGATATGTACATGAACAAATCCACAAGGGCCGTGACGAGGATTCGAACCTGCGTCCGGGAGCATCCCAGACACTGCCTTAATCGACACTGCCCTTGTGGATTTATTCATTTGATGTATCACCTTAGTGTGATCTCTGTGTGTAATGATATGTACATGTTTGTACAGGCAAATACTTTCCACTCTATAACAGTTATGAAAGATAGAAAGTTTAAATTTAGGACTTGCCTTCCTGAGTTTCCTGAGAGTGGAGGGAAGTGCAAGGCAGCTGGGAACTTGACAGTATGGGCAAGGAGTCTTGGCTGCTCGGTACCTGTAAGAGAAATGATCCTTGTAGAAACACATTTATGTTATCAGTCACAATTCGTGAATGAGAAACTAGCCTGCAACAGGTGCAGTGCAAGACAAGCCTGCAACAGGTGGAATGTATATTAGTGTCGAAGAGCATTATACTGGTGATCTAGGAAGTGGGAATAAAGAAGAAAAGTTCCTGTAAAATAAGCTAAGAACTTATCCTCAAAACACACACAAGTTCTTTGAGGTCCTATATGATGACTGATGCAAAACCAAAAGTTAGTTTATTCTGTTTTCACATCCCTGTGATCCACTTTAAAAACTTTATCTAAATTTATATTTGAGAGCATCACTCAAGCCTGGTCGCGATATGTACACTTGTGTAAATTTTAATGTTTTATCAATACTCGGCCCATTCTCCTGTTTAGATAGAACTTATAGTAACAATGAGCACCATTGTACATATAATGATGTAAAAGGCAATTGAAAAGTAGAAATTGGTATTAGTGAATTTGGACAAACTGGAAACGTTTTTGTATTGATGTTGCAAAGAAAACTTGATCTAATCTAACCTTCCTAGGCTTAATACATGCTATCTGAGGCTTAAAATAGTACATAAATGTACTATACTATTCCTAGAGATACTGTATTTAAATTTAGTTTTTAGCCATATAAATATTTTTCTTGTGAATAGTAACAAATTATACTATCTAATTGTCGATCACGTCTATGTATGTACGATGGTTCACATGGTTACAGAAAGTAATATCTAAACAGGAGGATGGGTTACAATACCCCTAGTCAACTTAGAACCAAATACTAAAACTGGTAAAGCATTTCTAAACTGCTTGGAGTTGCACTATGAAAACCACAGAAACAGTTACCTGGAAGAAGTGCTAAAAACAATGCAGGTAATATTACACTCAACATAAGCAGAGACAGAATTAATTTGGTGGTGTAATCAATTCGGTGCGATCCTTAGAGCACACACCTCATCATGACGCTTTGAAGGATGGAAGCGAAAGGAGTGACTCCAATTCCGGCGCCCACCAAGACAGCATGGGTCACAGAGAAGATCCTTGTGGATGGTGTGCCATAGGGACCATCTACATGCACCTGTAGGAAGTGTCACAATGTTGTAAGGTGAACAAGGAATACAGGAAGTGATAGCTATGTGCTAGCTCCCATTCAATTTCTAAGTAATACTTGTATTTGTCCAGCATTTTCCATGTAACATACTGTACAGTACAGTATATAAATAGCAATTCATGAATTACCAGTATACAGTACTGTATATAACTATCAGTTCCCAGTGCTACACAATTCTTGCTGTTGAAAAAATATGAAGCATATATATTGCACATTTACCTGGGTCTATCTCATAAATCTAGATCCAGGTAAATGTACCTGGATCTAGATCATCATCAAATCTGCCAGGAAAAGATCATCAAGGCAAATGGGGGGGGAGGGGGGGACCTTCGACAAGCCATCAGTCGTGACCACTAGGGTTAGTGGCCCTCGGCTAAATCAGGTAAATTTAATTTGTTAAGAATTTACTTATATTTTGATATATTGTAATTCATACTGTACTGTACTGTATATCTGTTCTTCAATACTGTATTCTTAATTATTTATATCCAATTTAACTTTTGTACTCCTTCATTATTGACTTGTGGCTCTCAATTGCACCTGGTACAAGACAGACAACAATGCAAACCAGGCACAATAGAGCTGATGTCATCCAAACTTTGAAAATACTGAACAAGATGGAGAATATTAGTCCAGACCACTTCAAAATCCTCAAGAAAAATGGTGAAACCTTTGACAGGCCAATGGCTTCCTGTCCTTGTTGAGGCCACTAGACTGGTGGGAATGGGGGAAGGAAAGGAAACTATCAGGGGAAAGTGCCAAGCCATTACGACTATATTGCACTTGGAAGGGGTTAGGATAAGAATTTGGGATGGGACTGGAGGGAAGGAATGGTGCCCAACCACTTGGGACGGTCGGGGATTGAATGCCGACCTGCACGAAGCAAGACCAGACTGATGGGGGGGCTCTCCGGTAAATTAAGGTAAATTATCTGTTATTAATTACTTGCACGTTATTAAGTTGTGGTATACTTTAGTACATGTTCACATTGACAAGAAAACATGTGTATCTGTAACTTAAAAACAATATTTAACTGTTCTGGAGTGATACTGCAGTGTCTGGTTATGATCTTTTAAACCTTTACTAACGTTACCTCAATTTACCTGAGGGCCACTATTTATTTAGTGGCCTTGACAGGGACAGGAAGTTGGCAGCTCGTCAAAGGTCTACCAGATTTGAGAAATCTTAGAGTGCTGCAATTGCATCTTCGCACCACATTTTGAAAATGGTACAGGTATAGTAAGGAACTCCTTTGTGAAACTGATGCTCAAAAATACGCTAATGAAGTTGTACTAGCATCATGAATTTACCCTTTTTTGTATCATGAGCATGGGTTTTTTTAACGATCTTCAAGGGTAAGCTCACCATTTAGAACAGTACCACAAAATTAAAATATCCTTTCTTAATACATGTCGGTTCACCATTCATTTTATTTTTATCAACTGGCAGCAGTGATCATTTCAATGGCTGTTTACAATTATCCACCTAAACCAGTGGTCTTTACTGCAGTTGATACCCCCTTTGGTTCTCAAAATGTGTTCTCACACCTTGTTTGGTTCTCAGAATTTGTTTCTGAGCAAATTTATAATGTTAATTTACACACACACACACACACACACACACACAATCATATAGAGGCAGTTCTGATGTTTGTGTTCTTAAATTGTGCTTATGATTATTTACCTACAGTTCTAAAAATCTGTCATGGGTGGTGAAGCCACATAGGTGTAATTCACTCGTGCACTTTCACAGCAGGTGGAAAATGGGAGCAGACCCCACCAACACTTGTCAAAGAGCATTGCACAAGAGCCCCCCCCCCCACACACCACATCACGGCAGCACCCTTGCAGGGGGCAAAAAGAGAGAAAAACGTCTTTGGCTACGTTATGCATTGACCACACATGATTAACTCATGAGTACTTAACTGCACAGACCTGTTATGTCAGCACTACATTAACAGTCGTACACCTCCTCATAGAATACCTTGATTTTCAGATGGACTGGAAAACACAAGGAAATCACAATACAGTAATGTGATATATATGAGAAAATCATTGGAGCAGGACAGCGATCAAACCAGCATCCTGGGTGAGCCCAGATGTATTCCTTTGTTGGAAATAACCAACAGTTTCGTACATCTTTTGTATTTTTATACAACGTTTGTATTAACCACAAGTAGTTACTAAAATTACTAACTTGTAGATTTAATCATCATCATGATTTATATTAAACATATTGCCAGATTCTTCCTAGTCAGAGTGACGACGCGAGGAACGACAGGCAGAAACATGAATTCTTTCCACATTTAGTTGGATTTATAACAGAGTCCAGTTTATCATTTCTTTTACTAAAAATAGTTACTAATAAGTTTAATTTCGTAACATACTACTGCTTACTGGAACTCCTTTATTTAGTTGATATTAAACATTCTAGAGGAAATTAATTTAATGTAAATGATTTCACTTTAATTTCCTCGATTAGCTGCGTGACTTTAATAAACCCAATTTATGTTACGCAAAATTATATTTAACACAGAAGAATTAAATGTGACATCAATACTCATCACCATCTCTTCTTAGTTAATTCCACTTCTTTCCTTAGTTAATATATCCATTTACGCTCAAGATGTCTATCGAGCGCTGCGCATGCGCAACCGGGAAGAGGAAGAAGACGCGAGAACATGACCAGCCACCACACGACTCGGACACCATTAGTAGCGTGCAACAGAGAGCTACGTTTCGATCATGCTTATTTCGCTCCCACGACCAGTAGAGCGGTGCCACGTCACAGCCGTTTCCCAGAGCTAGTATATCTGCAATTCCATAGTCAACGCCCTTCAAGTAGCAGCTGGAGGACGAAGCATTGCACAGTTCTCTACATCAACGGACAGTAGAAGAAATTTACAGTGCTTGAACATAAATTGCACAGATATTTGCAGGAGATTTCTACAATGATCATCATACCTTTTAGGAAGATTTCCTTAATTTAGGATATACTTGTAGTTTGTTATGTAGAAGATTTTTACAATGTAATTGCTTTCCAGCTCCGAGTCGACGTCAACTGAGGTGCTAGGCTTCCCCACCTTCACGTGCAACAATTTGCTCGATGCAACACTTCGTCGGTGGAGCGTGGCAACCGATTGCACTTCTTTAGATTTACAGCTAAGCTGTTCATGTTTATCAGTAGTAATAACACTCTAGTTACAGTAGCGATCTCCCAAAGAAATCAGTTATACTAATTCATTGATTTACCGTATACTATTCATTATTCCAGTAGTATATTGAGGTGCATTTACCTCTAATTAATATTATATAATCAACCTTATTTACTTTCATAATTTATTTACTCTGGCGAAGAACCAGTGCCAGAATAATGCTAGGGATGCATTAATCTTTTAGCATGTAACCCCCCCATTTTTGTGCAGGTTAATTTGACTCCCTTTACCTAAGAAATACAGTTTCACTAAGATCCATAGGACACTAGTTCTTGGTATCAGTTTAATCCATTGTCTCATTTTGTTTTCCACTTTTTCTCAAAAAGTGGTGGTCCTTCACAGCTATTGAATTACTTTATTTAATTACAAATTATTGGAGTCAGATTTTCCCACAGCCTTAACTCGTGGACCACAATACGCAGCATATCATGGTCCATGCGTTAAGGCATGCTTATGGGGTTACCCAGGGTGCTGCTTTGATACCTGTCCTGCTTTAATGCTTTTCACTGGATGATTCAAAATTTTGTTTCCCTACCTATCCTTCGAGTCATACAGTATGTCCTCTGATAAAATCCTCAGGGACGTGATTCCTTTGACATTTCTCATCTTATGTCTGCTTATGTCTGTCTGTATTGGAATTCTGAATGATTTCTGGAACCTTTTCAATATTCTGTAACTTAGATGGTGATATATTGTCTTCTGGGCTTGACATTTTTTGATAATTACTGTTTTTTCCCAATGAAAACACATTACACACAGAAATCACAATAGCGTGATGCACCAAAACATCTATGAAAATAACAATTCCAGTTTCATTTTTTAAAACTCCATGGGAGGATATAATCATATATGCATGTTCAGGACATAAAGTACTGTTTCTTTAAATTGTTCCAAAAACCAAGGTAAATTGCTGGGAATTCAGCAATTCAAAATTTTTGGAAAAAATCTGGTGTCTAACTTACCTCAATATTCTTATCTTCTAACTGAATCTGAATTTTGTGCGTTGTCAAGTTCTCTGTCAAACTATTTTCTTCGTTCTTTCTTTGGTATTGATTGCACTGTTGTTGGTGCCGGAGTGTGCTGGAACACTGCTGCTCACCCAAGGAGTCCAGACTAGAATTGCTTCCATATAGCGACGAGTGGCCAGAGTCGGTCAGTACCATTTGGTGTCCTATTAATTCGGCTTTCAGTGCTGCCAAGTTTGACAAACTGGAAGACTTCTTGCGTTCCAGTGGCTTCTCTGCTGCTGGGGATTTGAGCATGACTGAGGTGACAGATGGCTTCTGTTCAGCTTCTACAGACAACAGTGCTGCTGGTCGAGTGTACACACTCATCTTACGATTAAATTCTAAGAGGTTATTAACATAGCGACGGCCTTTACCATCGCCGCCACCCCCCTCTCCTTCCAGCTCAATGACACCGTGTTCTGCTATCTCGCTCACCCTCTCATCAGCTGTGAAGGCAGGGTTCAGTATACCAGTGTCTTCATTCTTATAATTCTGTGATGCTTCTTTTATTTCTGTTTCCTTCTCATCCTTGAACATTTCATAGACTCTTTTAGTCCATTCTCCCACAGAGCGAATGTGAACAGTGAAGACATCTGTAAACCAAACAATAGTTACTGCTTGTAAGATACATAAGAACTAAAACTAATGATAACCGCATTACTAATTATAGTTTTCAATAATATATATTTGAACAGAAGCTGCAAACATGATATAATAATAAAGTTCCAGGAAATACAGAATAGAAATACTGATGGTGTAGCACCTTCACGCTCAGGAGCTGAAGATATTGTAAAAGGATGCCACTCGTAGCGAGCAATGGAAGGGATGTTGAGAAACACATACTCCCCAGGCTGGAAGTCGAAGTTCTTGGGTCGTCTAATCAATACCTTTATTACCTGTTCTCCAAAGAAATACTCATTATCAGTCAAATTTATCAGTTAAAAAGTATGAAATTATTGTAATAGCAGTTACACATTCAAGTGTGATGCTTAAATCTAAATTACATATTTTATTGCAAGATTTTCGAAAATATTGTTCCCTCAAATCTTTTCCATTCCTTAGTTTAGGTATTTTACCAAACAGATTATAATTAATATTATCCAAACCCAAGGTAATACAATCATATTAATTGTAACTACTGTACCGTCATAGTTGTTGTTTCTAATAGAATTATGTACAAAAATGTACTCAAAACTAGCAAAAGAACATTCCTTTAATTCACAACTTGCATCTCTGAAGACATCTCACCTGAGAGGGAAGTTTAGTTCCTGAGAGAATGAGAGTCTGGCCCTTGGGTGAACAGACCTGTGACACTCTTAAACATGTCTCCAGGAGGAAGGCTATGCCAGGCAGAAGAAGCCACTTCCAGAAGTTGGGGCCATGTAGGATGAGGAACACCCAGAATGGAAGGGAGAGGAGGTGGGTCCAGTAGAATATCTGGGGAGAGATGCAATGCTGAATGTTTCAGCGAGATCATTTTCCATTCATATGGACTTGGATAGCGAGACAAATGATGTGAAACATGGTCTGAAATGTTGATAATATTGAACTATAATTATCTGACAAATAAACTGTTTACACCTCAGTATCAGTATACTGTACAGGTATATTTAAATATTTACTGTGACAATAAATGAGCAGATTTAAGTGACTAATAATACATTAAAAAATTAGCATGATCAAAGCATTCTACACTCCCACTTGCTGTAAGCCCCTGCTACATAGCCTCAATTAAATACCTCAAAATAGCCGGACTTCCTGACGAAGCGGTGGCTGAAGCCAACGATAATGGTGAGTATGACCATGAGCACCACTCCCGTCGGGTTAGCCAGGCCTCCCACCCAGCCAATGCCTAGGGAGGTGTCCCACATGTAGGCATTCATGGTGATCCCCGTCACATCTCCGAGGGTCACTGTCAAAGCACCAGCCATGGTCAGAGCAAGACTGCAACAGCACACCATCAATGGTCTTTAGGGACATTGATGATGTCAGTGAGGGGGTGGGGAATAACTCCAATGATGGTGTTTCCTGGTGTTTGGTTAATATGGTGCCACTGTAGTGTTAGTGCATCATGTTGTGCATTGTGCTGGTGCAATTAGTTTAATTTAGTTTATTTATTACCCATTTTGTCAGCGGCAGTAGGAAAATATTAGAGGCACAGTGGACTCAAGAACAGAATACAGGTATAGTGATGCTATAGAAATAAAATGTATTAATTTTGTGTTCTAGAGTATTTTGGAGGTACCAAGGAAGTGACACTTGAGGAGGTGCCAAGGGACACTTGTGTGGTATGGTGATTCAGCCATGTCATGAAGTTAGCATATAATTCCTGTTGTCTTCGAAAAAAAAAGCCTGTATTGCACTAAAGCTTATTGAGGTCCCCCTTGGACAACTACCTACCCTTCCTAGGAGGCAGCCCACAATAATTACCTAATTTCCAGGTACAGTACTGTACCTGTTTTACTGCTAGGTAAACATAGGCATGAAATGAAAGGAAACTTGCCCAATCATTTCTGTCCTGCCCGAGGATTGAACCTGGGACCCTTGGTTGTGAGCTGGAAATGACAACCACTGTGCTAGCTACTGACTATGTGTCTCACTGCAGTTTTTGTTGTACATCATATTAATAATGTTTGTAATGTATCTGTTGACTTGGATGTTCATACGGCTATGACTAACTGGGACTTTTGGTGGCCAATACATATTCACATCGGTGAAAAACAGAAATGCTAACAAAAATGTCTCCAAATACAACCATACCTACATATTGAAAATCACAGACATTTACATGCATGCACATATATAAATCCCATTAAAAATATAAGAAGGTAGGCCTAGATATAAACACAGACATGATAAACTATGCATAATTAGTGAAAGCATTATGTACAAAGCAGGTCAGGGATGGTAGAAAGAAACAATTATATACATGCATAAAATTAACTCCTATGTTCTCCAATTTTAATTTGTGATTAAACTTATTTATAAAATCCCCATAAAACGTTTGCACCGATTGTCACTCTTGCTGTATGCTATAACTTCAAGGTGAGAAAACTTAATTAACTTCACACTGGTCTGTATAAGGGAACTGGTTGCAAATTTTTTTGTTTTAAACACCATTTGCAACCCAATTTAAATCTCAAAGATGACTGAGGACAATATCAAACATATGCCTTGTTTACCTCTTCAGAAAGTCAGTGGCTTCAATAAGAGATTAAATACATTTACCTGAATTTACCTAAGGGTGACCATCTCTAGTGGCTTCAACTTGGATAGGAAGCTGGCTGCTTGTCAAAGTCCCATCATTATTACCAAGGACTTCTTCCAGTTGAATTTTGAACTGTAGTCCTGATGTCTTACCATTTACAGTTTAGGTAGGTAGACAAGCCCACAGGTTTATAACCTTATGGGTGAAAATGCATATCCTGGTACCTGTCATACATTGTTACTTGAGCCACAACATGGACCTTTCTAAATAAGTGTTCTGGATTAACATTTTTGAATTTTTATTGTGCAGAATACCAAATGACTCGGGTAAATTTGTTCTGTATAGTCGATTAAGTCTATATGACATCTACAATGTCATGGTTGGTATGTATTGTTGTTAGTCCTGAGGCCCTCAGCCTTTCCAGGTACGAGATGTATCCTAATTCTGGGATGGATATAGTCGTTCTATGTTTGAATTTTTTCCAAAGAAGTTAGGCCCTCCATAGCGAGATGTCTCCATAGTTTGATTCAGTTATCCAGATGGGGAGAGGCACAGCACTGAAATTTGTACAAGTGAACAATCACTTTTATCTTTGAAGTCAAAGGTTTGTTTAATTATTCATCGTTTTGTAACGCTGCTCCTACTTGCTGAGAAACTTTCACTAACTAAAAGGTCCTCTTCTCTTTCCAATCTGTCAAGCTACACAGGGCATTTTTAGTCTAATACCAACCCAACTTCAGAAGAAAATATAATGCACACAATTGTGAATTATCATTCTTTGAATGCAAAACTAACAATATACACAGTATTGTATAAATAAGGGAAAACCTTTACTAATTGCCGACCACTTCAGTGGCAAGCTATATATTAGTCTACCTTCACCAACTTTATTAGTTTGTTTTTCTTGGGACTGATGTACAGTATTTTAGGTAAGGATAGGATAGGTTAGATTGGGTTAGGTTAGATTACATAAATTTGTTATGCAATATAATATTTAGTCTTCCAAAAACCCACATAATGTTTTCAAGAACGATGGAATCGGTGAGACATGCAGTACAGTAATATGTTCCAATTAAGTCCTCACGTTAGACTTAGATTGTCCCCTATTGCAAACATGTTTAGCTCTTTCATACAGATTAATAAAATAGTGATATGAAGGGTGTGGATAGACACTAAAAGAAGAAAGTTACATAATACAGTATTGTGAACAGTGACTTACCTAAGCATGATGAAAGCATCAGTCTCCTGCTTCTCTGGCTAGTCAGAGAAAACCTTGGCACACTTATGAATGCCACAGAATATGTGAAACAGAGGTATGAGCTATAGAGGTACCAAGAACAGAGATACAGACAAGCACCAGGATCCACAAAGTACTTGATCAAGTGTCAACTTACAGGATTTTTACATACAGTATATTCTCAGTCATGACAGCTTAATACGTTTTACCCTACAATTGGCTATAGCTCTGAAGTGCTACATGATCATAAATAACAACAATAACCATGAATTGAGGACAACCTCAAGCTTCAGTGCTAATAAGCTGAGTTGCATATACCGACCCAGCCGCCATGGTCACGATAAAAGGTGCACATTTTGCAAGTGGATATGTAAAAGGACTCGAGGAAAGGAAGCAAGATAGAAGTTAGAAGATAAAATACGTGTGGAACTTAAACATGATTTTCTCCTTATAATGTTCATAATATACTTGATAAATATGAAAATATGAAGGCTGCTTACACTTTCTATTAAATTTAAATAAACATTAACAGATTATGACTATCTCATTTATTGATGAGATAAATCTTTCAAAAAAACATCCCAGAATGGCCAAATTTAAAAAAGAATGATTAGTCTTATATACACAAGTTTAAAGGCTGAACATATTGGATGAAACAGCATTGCATCATATGAGTAGTCTCCTTTTGTTAGTGGCAAACTCCTGACAAACATTCCATTAACCATAGAAGAAATATTTTGTAAAGCCAAGAAGAAAGTGGACATGAGTCAGTCGAGAAAACCGTATTGCCATGATGGGTCATGGATGAGTAAGAGCGAGTCACATAGTGTGCCAGGTATGGTGGATTATGGATAAGTAGGGAGTGTTGATGGAGTGGTATGTCAACAACCCACAGGTAGTGTTGGAGGATTTAATGACTGATATTGTTTTATGAAATACTGGACTGTATATGTTTAATGCTTTTGCTTGAATTATACTGTACACGATCTTGTTAAAGTGACACTAAACCCTCAAACTTATTTATTTAAATTAATATGAAACAAAATTTGATCTGATGAGTAATTAAGATGCATGAATGTACAAATGAGTAAATGTACTCATTCAATAATTACCAACATTCAATAATTACCCAGGTAATTATAGGAAGATAATGCCAAGTCATGCATAACTATAATTTTTTACAATTCCAATGCAAGTAAATATGAAACGAATGAAGTAACAAAACTAATTATATAAGTCAATATGTTCAAGGAACATCCTGTAACTCTCACAAGGGGGGACAACAGCTTCAAACTCAAGAAGCCCCAATGTAAGAGGCAGCTTGAGATGCTTCTTTCACCTATAGGATACTAAACTCATGGAATTACACACCCAAAGAGACCAGTTTAAAACACAAATGGAAAAAATCCTACAGAATAATGGGAGGGGAACCTATGACATGCTACCAGCTTACTGTCCCTATTGAGGCCACTGGGAGATGGTAGACCTCAGGGTAAATTCAAGTAAATAATCATAATATGAACATTTGCACACTCGGACAACATAATGTGTGTGTAGCACTGTCGGATTACAACTGACTGAAACCAGGTTCGATTCCTGGGCAGGACGAAACATTTTAGCAGTTTCCTTACACCTGATGGCCTGATCACCCAACAGTAATTAAATACCCCTAGAGTTAGATTATAGGAAGGTGATGGATGAGAGAGGATAGAATGTAAGGGAACAGGGTAACTGCTTTGATCGATAAATTTCTTGTAGAGTGGGGAAGGAGCCAGTGATGATGGAGGGGAGGGTGGAAGATGTACGAAAGGTTGACTACTCAGTGGGCACAACATCCAAAAGCCACACTAGTTCAACGCCAAATTAAACATCGTTAACACAGATTTAATGCTCAACCAATGCCACTCTTAGATATTGTGCCCACTGGGTAGAGTTTAATGAAGAGTTATCCCAGAGCAAGTCAATTAGTAAGTATATATTAAATTAATATAAGTTATGTATACATGTTAAAAATATATTTACATTATCTGGAAATCTAAAATAAAATGAGAATTAAAAAAGTTAAGATATTACTAAATTACAAATGCTTAATCCAGGTTAGAAGAGATAATTATTTTAAGATGTATCACATTGAAGGTACTGTATTTATAGCAAATATTTTACGAATATTAAATTAGTCTTCACAATTGGCCACTTTAAATCAACATTGGTGTTACTGTCTCGGTTGATAGTCCTTCCTTTTCTGATGTCGAGCCCTGTCGAAGCTGTTGTCAGTCACAGCTCTCTGATGCTAAGCCCTGTCCAAGCTGTTGTCAATCACAGCTCTGATGTTAAGTCCTGTCCAAACTGCATCTGTCACAGCTGTCTAAAGTCCAGTCCTATCCAAGGTGTTGTCAGTCACATCTCCCCAAGAATGAAGAACGTCTAATTAGCTTGTAGAGTTTATATTAATTAGCTTAATAATTTATAATGGATACTCTGTACATGTTGCTTCAAAAAATTCATCTGTTGAATTTTGTTCCAAATTTACAAGAATTTTGTCTTTAATTAAATCTAGACATTCAACAGTGATTATTAAAGATTTACCTGTAAACAATAAGTAATAAAGCCAATACAATATGTCCACCACAGCAGTGAAGCAACAATCCTTGCATCAACATTTACAATCATGCTGTCTATATATTGTACAGTAAAGCAGCTGAAGTTATATTTGGATTCAATGTTTCTTTTCCTGTCATTTATGTAGTAGTCAAGATAGAATTATCTATATATGTCACTAGGTTATTATTGCAGTCTGAGATAGGGAAAGAAAGGATAGGGACTTAAGATTCCATTCTAATACACAAAAGAGAAGAAAATCCCAGGGTAATATAAAATGTCAACAGGTATCCCCCAGGGATGGACTCAACTAGGAATAGAGTCTGCACCACAACTACCATTATCCAGACCGCAAATTTACCAAAGTTAGCGATGTGGAAGAGGGTGTGGAGAATGGAGAGGAGGAAGACCGTCCACCCGGCCATCTTGTGGAAGTGAACATGCTGGTCGCAGGGAAGAACGTGCCCCAGGGAGGAGTTCCTGAGGCGAGTCATTGTCCGCCGCAGGATCAGTAACAGCAGTAGTGCACAGTCCAGATTCAAGCACTGACCTATGTGGGGAGGCACCAATTTAGTTCCTGCCATAACACACAGTATATATTCTAATGAAATACATTACTTATTTTATTTGTATCACCAAATTGTATTTTGGTGACACAAATCATTGAATTAATGCTGTAATTTTGTAAGTAAAATCTAATTAGATTACAAATTCAAAATTGCAGTGAAGTTTCCCTAAGAGTTTACTGCAATTCCATATGCAATATTAATGTAAATATAGGACCAAGTACAGTGCCCAAAGCCACTTATAGACAGTGGCCATAACACGGGGGGAAAATAACTACAGTAATTAGATTTCCAGCAAACAGCTAACCCGAAGTAATTCATCAGGTCTCTGTGCGAGTTGTAACCTTATACCCAGCCCGTCCTCCAGCAACCCGTCCCCTTAAAAAGAACGTCACTTTTGGCTCGTATGCGTGATATGGCTAAATTTGGACGTAATTTGAAATGAAATCGACTCACAAAAGTGACGTTCTGTTCCGTTTTCTATTTGAGTCGTCCAGTGTACGCGCAGAGGTTATCAGAGGACACTTTAAATTAACGTTTTCCATAACGTTTTGAAACTTTATGAGAATTTCCTGCCCACCTAACCTATCAGAGGACCCTTAACTTACTGTTGTTGAAAAAAAAAATCCCAAATTTATTTTCATTTTTTTCATTTTCAAATTACGTCCAAATTCGGCCATACGGGCAAACGGCCAAAAGCGACGTTCTTTTTAAGAGGACAGGTTGCCTCCAGACATGACAGTACTGGCACCAACTATTTGGTCAGCACAAATGGCATTCTTGAAAATGGGAAATATATCTGAACATCTAATCTAACCTATCCAAGCAACCCTTGCCTTATACAGTCTATATTATGCCTAATATAGCAAGATGCACTATACTTGACCTGTTAATGGAATTTAATTTCTTTTTATCTATGAAATTCATTGTACAAAACGTGAATTTTGCTGGATCCAATATTACACATTGGTACGTTTGACCAAACAGTTGCCAGAAATACTATCATTTTAGGAGGATGGGTTGTAATATCATACAGTAATCAAGAGGATCCCCAGGATTTTTGCAGGTGGGACATCAGGATATAGTGAACAGTGAATATGTAGTGCCTAGAGTTTTAATCAGAAAATAAGTGGGATTTTAATTATTTTTGTTGGGACAGGAAGTCTATGTATATTCATACTTTAGGCTTCTATCAAAGTCCCACCAAGGTTGACCTACTGACTTTCCTCAAGATGCAACCCCACAACAGTTGCATAACTTCCAGGAACCCACTTACTGCTAGCTGAACAGTACCATTAGGTGAAAGGAAACGAGCTCAACCATTTGTGCCCGGCCCAGGATCCCCGATTGTGAATCGAGAACAAAGCCAGCTATACAACGAGACCTCTGTTAAGTGGGGGAGCTTGGTTATAGGGGCGTTCTTACCCTCAGCCCAGGGGCGTCCCTACCCTCAGCCCAGGGGCGTCCCTACCCTCAGCCCAGGGGCGTCCCTACCCTCAGCCCAGGGGCGTCTCTACCCTCATCCCAGGGGCGTCCCTACCATCATCCCAGGGGCGTCCCTACCCTCAGGCCAGGGGCATCCCTACCCTCAGCCCAGGGGCATCCCTACCCTATGCCCAGGGGTGTCCCTACCCTCAGCCCAGGGGCGTCCCTTCCCTCAGCCCAGGGGCGTCCCTACCCCCAGTGCAGGGGCGTCCCTACCCCCAGTGCAGGGGCGTCCCTACCCCCAGTGCAGGGGCGTCCCTACCCCCAGTGCAGGGGCGTCCCTACCCTCAGCCCAGGGGCATCCCTATCCTATACCCAGGGGCGTCCCTACCCTCAGCCCAGGGGCATCCCTACCCTCAGCCCAGGGGCGTCCCTACCCTCAGCGCAGGGGCGTCCCTACCCTCAGCCCAGGGGCGTCCCTACCCTATGCCCAGGGGCGTCCCTACCCTATGCCCAGGGGCGTCCCTACCCTCAGCCCAGGGGCGTCCCTACCCTATGCCGAGGGGCGTCCCTACCCTATGCCCAGGGGCGTCCCTACCATCAGCCCAGGGGCGTCCCTACCATCATCCCAGGGGCGTCCCTACCCTATGCTCAGGGGCGTCCCTACCCTATGCCCAGGGGCGTCCCTACCCTATGCCCAGAGGCGTCCCTACCCTATGCCCAGAGGCGTCCCTACCCTATGCCCAGGGGCGTCCCTACCCCCAGCTCAGGGGCATCCCGACCCTCATCCCAGGGGCGTCCCTACCCTCATCCCAGGGGCGTTCCTACCCCTCATCCCAGGGGCGTTCCTACCCCTCATCCCAGGGGCGTTCCTACCCCTCATCCCAGGGGCGTTCCTACCCCTCATCCCAGGGGCGTCTCTACGCTCATCCCAGGGGCGTCCCTACCCCTCAGCCCAGGGGCGTCCCTACCCCTCAGCCCAGGGGCGTCCCTACCCCTCAGCCCAGGGGCGTCCCTACCCCCAGCGCAGGGAGCTGCCAACTAGTAAACCAATTAGAACCCACAATAACACACGAGAACCTTCACAATATAGCCACTCAAGGCCATGTTTACTTGGTTCAGCGCAGATATGTGAAAATCGAGAGAGCTAGCCTAACTTTTATCAAAACATTCCCAATTGCCTAATAAACACACTTGCAAAAGCCAGCCGAATGCCTTACCCTCACCCCTAAAAAACAGTTTATTCTGTCGTGGCCCAATAAACAGCTAAGCCACGTACATCTTAAACCTCAATTCTCTGTGATGTCACTATGTTGCATCATTTCGCTGAAATCGTAATGTTTCGATATTGTTTATTTAACAAGTAATTGAGATGTGTAGACCGCTATTACAATGTATAACTGAAAGAAATATATATAGCATTGGTTCATAAATTGATAACATGTAATTTGGAATTTGTGTTCCATTGATATATATATATAGTGTTCATGTCGACGTTTCGTGTGTGGGTTATATGAATTTCGGCATTTTATTACACGGAAAATTCATAGTGATATTATTCAAATTTGCATGGAATTTGTGGTTTATAAATTACCATCGATAAGGTTTAATAACTTAGTCATTTCCTCGTTTAAATCTGATAACTGAGACATTAATGCTGTACGATACAAGGTTCAAAACCTGCTACGTGGAGGGCTGAACACATGATAGGTGAGCCAGTGTCGGTTAGTGAGTGTCTGTTAGTGAGTGTCGGCTGGTGAGTGTCTGTTAGTGAGTGTCTGTTAGTGAGTGTCAGTTGGCGAGTGTCGGCTTGGCGGCGGACTGGGCAGTTGGTCATGGCCTCAACAGCAATGATCTGCGACTTGTCGGCACCTGCCTGACCGCTTATTCCCCGATTTTTATTATTTTTATGTGTGTGTTACGAGGTGTTCAAGTCACCAGTGTTCGCACGCCGTCACCAGTGCAAGTGACTGGTGCGAAATGCCTAGATGTCGAGTATTATGAAAGCACGTCTTGATTGTGGCTGGTGACTTCGCGAGAGAGATGGTCTGACGCAAGGTGATAGCCTATTGTCAATGCCGCTGCTACATTGATCTCTCGACCTTGAAAGTGCTACTGCTTCATGCAACTTGCATAATGTTAGCTTCCGAAATAGAGGCCGCAGGTGTTTGCTCGTGTTAAAGAGTCTATAGCTGGAGCACGCAAAATTACACAATTAATTTCGCGTTTTCCGCTCCTATTTAAAATATTACCACTGATGATTAATATCCACAACCTCTCTTTCCTCAATTTTGTGTTCATTCGAACTGATGCTTGCCCGCCCCCATGAACGTGCGAAAACGGGGGTGCTGATAATGCATCCTTGTATATATATATACCATAAATTTCAGTTCTCCATTTCAGATGAGCAGCAATTAATGACTATTAGATTTGGGTTGGGAAAATGATCGCTATATGCCGAGCGGCGGTCACAACTGCAACACCTGAGGGATCTTGCATCATGTGATACTGTGCAAGTCTTGCACCAGGTGTTGCACTCCTCACTCCACCATTACTGCTAGATTATACTGTATATATATATAAAAACATATATTGGGAAGCGTTTACGTGCCTAGAGCAGCAATACACCTCATCGAAGAGTTTAATTTTATTTTTCCGCCTGACTAGGTCATTTTCGTATAACTGATTATAAAGCGTTAAGACATATAGGTAAACCGGTCATTACTCAAACTGTATGACATGGTACAGTGGAGGAAGTGAGCGTTACTCAGGTTAAGAACAGTATGGTCTGGCTTGTAACCAGATAGCCTAACCCTTGTTCCCTACAATGGCACACGGTTCCGATACCGTTGTGTTCGAATCCCACTATAGCCTAGCTTTCTCTCTCATAATAAAAACATAAAATTAAGTTTCTGAAAAATTAATTTGATATCACTGAGTTGCAGGATCCTTGTGGACAAGTTACAGGGCCATCAGTCTTGGGGTCATTTCATTTGTTTTGCATGTTTGTACGCGTTGTATTTGCGCGCCTAGACAGTAGGGTGGGTTAGTCAGTTGTACACCTGGACATAGGGGCGGGTTGACACTATTGGGACCACCGGCTCAAGGCCAACGCGGGCCACAGGCTGTTTGAACCGTTACCCAACTAAAAGGAGAATTGTCCTGATGTATACCAATCCTTCCGGAACCTGTCCTACTTCCCCTGATCTAACTTTGATCAATTCCGGAAGGTCAGGCGGCAACACGCTGGCCAGGGTCCTGAAGAGAAGCAACACACGAGGGGGGGGAAGAGGACTGTCATCAGTGGAAAGAGATAATTTACCTTAATGTACCCAAAGGTCACCATCTCTAGTTGCCTCAACGGGGTTAGGAAGCCTGAGACTTGTCAAATGCGGGATAATATGATTTTTACCCCAACCTTGTACTCACCACACGCCCTGGCTCCCATCTCTAGCAGGTTAGTGTCGCTGTATTGGTAGGCCCTCGTCAGGAAGACGACGGCGTTGACCCCAACGAAGAGGGCTGTGAAGACCAGCGCTGGAGCGTTATTCCTGGCCCAGACGGCCCTTCGGTGGATGCTGCGCCTGATGCTCAACTGTTCCTTCTCTTGTCGTTCTTCATCCAGGACCACATCCAGGAACCGTATCCTGGTAAGCAAAAGAGGAGATAATCTTCTGTTACCGTTAATATTCTTGCAAATAGTGGATATGGGAACAAAGGGGGAGATTGGAAAGGGAAGGGGGGTGGAGGAGATGGGGGTAAATGAAAAAGAAGAAGTGAGGAAATAGGAAGAGAGGGGGAAATAGTGTGAGATTGGGGGCGAGAGGGGAAGAGTGGGAGAGAGACCTGGCCACCGCCGGTTACCTCATCTAGCACAACAATAAGAATGTCACCTCCGCCAAACAGAAACACATAGCCTAGCTCAAAATATTTATATAAAAAAACACATCTTGTCTTGACAGGCTGCGAGCAGCCGCGTCCAACAGCCTGGTTGATCAGTCCAGCAACCAGGAGGCCTGGTCGACGACCGGGCCGCGGGGACGCTAAGCCCCGGAAGCACCTCAAGGTAACCTCAAGGTGACACATGATGCGCGATAATTTTCCCAGTACACAAGGAGTTGACTATGTAGATGAGTCAACCAAGATGGCTCTGAATAGGCTCTCGTGTTCATCAACGTTCATCCATATTTTGTCCAGTCGACTGTGACAGGGATGGGAATGAGGGAGTACCAGTCACGTACATCACTCTCAGCCTCACCAACGGCGACAGTTACCCCATAGATTCCACAACAGTTCTTCAGTCTGTGGCTTGTAATGCTGAGACAATTCCTCTATTATACATAGATAATATCTGGTTCCACTGTGTCTTATGTCCTCTTGCCGAGACGAACGTCAACAGTGTGGTTATGACTCCCTAACCACCTTTTTTGGGCACATATATTAGGTCTTGTTCTACTGAGTGCAACTACATTGCTCCTCCAGATTCCAGCTGACTTGCTGTTGAGTTCCACTAGCGGTCATCAACAATGACATCAACTATGTAAACAATACAGTTGCCTCCTACCACAAAGCAAAGCGTTCATCGTTATCAATCTTGCACGAAATGTTTGTATAGGTCACCAGGGGCTGCTTAAGAGTGGGTCCTCTGGCACTGCTACGTCACAGAGTAACTGCTCAAGTTGACAGGTTTGTAGGGCTTCTAATAGGTGAAGGCTTAAGGGATCTTCAGAACACAGAGGTCGAGCGTTCTCTTTTCCATAACACAGCGGACCAATCACAGGCAGTGTTGGCGATACGTGACAACTTAACTCTCCTCCCATTGGTCACATGACCTATTAAGTAAATAGACACAACCTGAAATCAATTTCATTACATAACTATACATGTTTCCTAACATAAAACATTCTCCGGTAGTCCCTGCTGAAATTAGACTACAGCAAATCCTCAGGTTATCAAGATATCGATTAACTCCCCAAGGTGATATCCGTAAGGAGCCGCCCCTTCCTGAAGACAGCTTCCCGTGGTCTTGAAAGTGCGGGTCACTCTTCCTCCCGGGCTGGAGCGTCCTTGCTGACCCCAGGACCTCGGCAGACTTATTAAAATGCGCGAGCAAGGTTGACCATCACTGCGGGCACAGATCGAGAGAGTTGTTGCTGTGGAATGTGTGGTTCGTCAGGGAGAGAGGGGAGGGGGGGAGGAAGAGTTCCTTCTTCTCCGTCTTAGTCCCCACTCTCCCTCTTCTAGTGCCCCTCTCCGTCTTAGTTCCCACTCTCCCTCTTCTAGTGCCCCTCTCCGTCTTAGTCCCCACTCTCCCTCTTCTAGTGCCCCTCTCCGTCTTAGTCCCCACTCTCCCTCTTCTAGTGCCCCTCTCCGTCTTAGTCCCCACTCTCCCTCTTCTAGTGCCCCTCTCCGTCTTAGTTCCCACTCTCCCTCTTCTAGTGCCCCTCTCCGTCTTAGTCCCCACTCTCCCTCTTCTAGTGCCCCTCTCCGTCTTAGTTCCCACTCTCCCTCTTCTAGTGCCCCTCTCCGTCTTAGTCCCCACTCTCCCTCTTCTAGTGCCCCTCTCCGTCTTAGTTCCCACTCTCCCTCTTCTAGTGCCCCTCTCCCTCTTAGTCCCTACTCTCCCTCTTCTAGTGCCCCTCTCCGTCTTAGTTCCCACTCTCCCTCTTCTAGTGCCCCTCTCCCTCTTAGTTCCCACTCTCCCTCTTCTAGTGCCCCTCTCCCTCTTAGTCCCTACTCTCCCTCTTCTAGTGCCCCTCTCCGTCTTAGTTCCCACTCTCCCTCTTCTAGTGCCCCTCTCCCTCTTAGTTCCCACTCTCCCTCTTCTAGTGCCCCTCTCCGTCTTAGTCCCCACTCTCCCTCTTCTAGTGCCCCTCTCCGTCTTAGTCCCCACTCTCCCTCTTCTAGTGCCCCTCTCCGTCTTAGTCCCCACTCTCCCTCTTCTAGTGCCCCTCTCCGTCTTAGTCCCCACTCTCCCTCTTCTAGTGCCCCTCTCCCTCTTAGTTCCCACTCTCCCTCTTCTAGTGCCCCTCTCCCAGCCCCTATTTTTACTTCAATCTCTCCCTCATTCCTTTACCCTTTTATTTATTTATTATCTACATCGCTGTTTTATCATTTCCTCGTCACCTTAACTGTTTCCTTCCCATCCCTTTCATTTTCTATCTCCCTTTTACCACCTTTCTACGTTCTTATACGTGTCCCAGACCCCCCCCCCCTAAACCCCTTTGTGTCGTCCTTCTCTTCTTTATATACTTTGATCTCCCTCTATCCTTCATACCTTCTGTTCTCAGATTTCTCCAATGAGAACCCTTCCTTCCTTCCTTCCTTCCTTCCTTCCTTCCTTCCTTCCTTCCTTCCTTCCTTCCTTCCTTCCTTCCTTCCATTCCACTTCTCCCCCCCTCTCTCCATTCCTTCCTTCCCCTCTGTTCATGCCTCTCCCCTGCCCCTCTACTGCCTCTCACCACAGGTTGGTCAAGGTAAACACAACACAGTCATGACTACTCGCCTTTTCCTCACTGACACAGGTTGAGGAACGTCATCACCTCACCCCTTAACCCACTCACACAGGACGACTGAGATCACACACACAAAACGGAGGTACGAACCGACTCCATATTTATATATCGCTACGAAGCCTTCGACATTTTCTCACACAAGAGTCCAACCACTTGGGCCAGACGGTAGAGCGACGGTCTCGCTTCATGCAGGTCGGCGTTCAATTCCCGACCGTCCAAGTGGTTAGGCAGTTAGAGATTCCTTCCCCCGTCCCACCCCAAATCCACTGTATTACGCGACTGGCAGTGAGAAAGGCGCGACTCGGGAGCTGAAACCGTACTCGCCAATCTCTACAAGTACTAACACACACACACATATACATCAGTACATACATATATATTATATGAGTACATATAATTATGAAGACACCAAGCCTGGACGCGTGTTCAGCATCCTCTTACATACAGAACAAACACAATTAAACACATTATATACCATGACAGCAGACACTTCAAGTACTCTCTCTCTCCCCAGTGCCCTCTCCATCAGCCAGTCACACTCATCTCCTTGGCAGATGACCTCTGACCTTTCCAGTTAGCAGTTCGGGCCAGGTGTCGCCCCGGGGGCCAGCTAATTAACACAGGCTTCAACACATGCACTAAACAAGAGCAAATATTGTCTCTGCTATTGTCGAGTCAATTTTAAAATTACTGCACATGACTAGACAAGAGAAACAAAGACCAATGTGAAAAAAGGGAATCCCTTCACTCTTATTATTAATTTTGTTTATCGGAAGGTATTAAGGAAATGCTATAATTATAGGTTGCTTTTGTCACGTCATGCCCCTGGGAGTAACGATGCCCTGCGGGTAACGATACCCTGTGGGTAACGATGCCCCTGGACGGTGGTAATTCTAACGAGAGAAATATGTTGGTTTGAAAGTTACCAGTCATGATAACTGGCAGAGGAATGAGGAAGGTGGTGAGTGAAGGTGAGGGTGAGTAAATGAGGCTGTGAGTTAATGTAACAAGTGAGTAGAGATGGCAGTATAATCGCTCGCTCACAAAGGCTTGAGCGTTGACTTTAATAAATGTTCATGTTATGCAAAGTGGAAACTCTGTTTAATTTGGCGGTCTCTCCCCATCCCTTCACACGGGTGAGTCTGTTGACCCGCTTACTCGGAACTAGTTGCTGTTGCCTCCTGTCAACAAATCCTTCTAATAGAACGTCGAATTTTGACATATACTCTAAAGCCAAAAACTCTCGTGCTAGAAAATGGAAGCGGTTGGCGAAATTGACATACTGTCCCGTTTTCTGTTTTGGGTCCTCTGGTAGGTTAGGAGACGGTGCTTTCGTACGACAGTTTCTTGACGTTAGGAAATCTTAGGAGGCTGCTCCAGTAGCCTATCTTCGTGTGTGTGTCTGTCTCCTAAGGTGAGGCTTCCTCTGGGTGGTTATAGATAGGAGCTGCCTCGTATGGGCCAATAGGCCTTCTGCAGTTACCGTGTTCTTATGTTCTCTTTTCCCAGTCTATTTCACCCTAGTTCAAGTCGCCCAAGATGAATAAAAGCCCAGTTCCATTCTTGTTTACCAATCAACGTAGTCTTCTCTCTAAAGGTTATGGTCGCTTTGTTTTTCTCCGTCACATTCTGTTGCTTTTTGCAGGGCTATGTTTTACTGCTGTGTATCAGTGTTGACTGTGTAGTGAATGTGCCTCATCGTAGCTTACATATGTATGTGAGCTGGGGACGGAGGACTTCGTCTCTCCCCCTGTGACATCAGTCGTCGCTAACGGACTTTCACAGTCACTCTTCCTTCACATTCTTTGACAGTGCAGTCATGCCCGGTCACTGGTTTGGTCAATGACATCACTTCTCGGTTACATCCCTTGGCAGTGACATCACTCGGCAACGTGGGCTTTGGAAGTACCGCGTCACTCCTCGGTGAAGTGTTATGGCAGTGACATCACTCCAATAACGTGATGCTAGTGTTGACGTCATTAATTCACCCGCGCTGGTGACACTGGGACCCACGACGTCCCGAAAACTAGGAAATAGCTATACACAAAAAAAGAAGTACAGGCTTAAATTGTGTATATTATCTAGCTTTGTATTACAAAGACTGCCACAAAATTCACCGTCAGAACCGATCA